GAAAGCCACTCATGGTGGAGAGAAGCACTTTGGATCCCAGCTGGTTCATGTTTTACATGTAGTTGTAAAAAAACCTAACAATCATTTAACATGCAATCAGCAGATGGAGTAAGGTTTTTTTAAACCCCAACAGTAATAGATTGTGGTCAGTCACGAATCTCTGGCTCTCATGGTCAGAGGTCCCCTCAGGTGCTCAGGGGGACCCTCCGATCCTGCGCCGATGCCATGCAGCCTGGAAATCCTTGTGGTCTCAGAGCTACCCCCCCCAGCTCTGGGCCCATGCATGGAGGTGAAGGCACTGATTGATGTTCAATAGCCTGTCCCACCAGAGACTGGATGGAAAATACTGATTTCCTTTAAGAGCTCAGGAGGGGAGGCGGGTTCACAGATGCAGTTGTCTCTGATCACAAAACAGTGAGAGTGAGGGCTGTCAGGGCTCCGGCTTCCCACGTAGGCATTGACCCCAGTGGGCTGAGCACTGGACCTGACATCACACCACCCACCCGAGCCCTTGCACTTATTGTGGGCTCGTCTCTCCTTGGAGGCAAAGGGAATACAAAGACAAACCCCCTCCCATACTCTGCTGAAGGCTCCAGTCATGGAGCAGAATGATGGCACTGAAGTAAGCCTCCACAGCATGAAAGATCTTGTTCTTCTACACCAAACCACAATACAGACCCCTGTCCCTTATGTCAGCCACCGTGGAGCCAGCAAATACTAAATAGGCTGCTGTCTCCATCAAGCTGGGCTGTATTCACCCTGGCAGCCCCAAGATGACATTTCTTGTTGTTCCTTCTACAAAATGCCACATCCTCTCCAGGGGATGTTTTCAAGCCAAGGTGCCCTTTCAGACCTGAGCTTCAAGGCTACGAACAAGCCACCTGGGATCAGATGTAGAGGCAGAAGTAAACATGACTAAGGAGGTACGTTCAACCTGGCGACAGGAATAATTGGCTCAGATTTGTTTGTTTCATGTATATGCACTGGTGCTGTCAGAAGTGGGACATAAAAGCATCACCAGTGCTGAGGTGCCACTGTTTTATGTGTGCTGCATGTGGGTGCAGTTACTGGCCGCTGAGGGAGGTTATTAATCTTTCTCCTGTGATTGCCTTGAGTGCCAGCGCAGCAAAACGCTTGTTCTGCAGCCCCCTGTGCTCAAATCAGCAGAACCCTGAGGGGAAGTCCAAATAAATGGTTCCTTGGAGGACAACCCACACAAACCCACTTAAAGGACAGAGACTCCTCTCCAGGAATGCCACAGCCGCTTTGCAATTTGGGAACCTTGAGGTCGAAAGCCTCTCCACAGCACACACCTTAAAGGGCACTTCATCTTCTCTGCCTGAAGGAATTTGTCTTAACTAAAGTGTTTCAATTAGAAGTCAAGACTGAATCACTGCAAAGTGCTGGAGACAAGAGTCATTAATACTGGAATGCAAGTTTTAAATTATTTTTAATATGCTCTGCAAGGCATCCATAAAAGGCCCTGAATCAATATGCATTTCAAATCCTTGCATTAGGGTTTGCAGAATTTAAATGCACATCAGTGGAAGGGTCGGGAAAGCAACCTGAATTTCTATGAGAGCTCTTGCACAGCCAAACCTGGGAGACTGCCTGGGTCCAAGGTGTCAGATGGGCGTGACCAAATGGATCAGACCTTTTTTGGTGGCCTGTGCCAAAATGCACTGATGGTCCCAGTCCCTGGAGAAAGGGTGTTGTGGCACATCATTGACATGGGGGTCAAGCTTTTGAGTCCCTGTCAGTGACAGCAACCAGCATTTTGCTTGTCCATCTCAGCCAGTATCAAATATTCACAGGCATTAAGGGTGATTTAAGCATTACCTGACCATTCCCTGGTGAGAAGAGCGGGGAGAATGAGGATGGGCAGATCTATAGACATTAGCTCTCAGGGCTATGGGTGCTCATGCTTGGGGACCCCGGATCTTCAAGTGCAGCATTCAGGTGCCCTGATGGCACATACCAGAGATTTGACAACTCTCTCCCTGCATAGGTGCAGGACTAATTCTGTGGCTGGTACACAGCAAAGCAAGTTGATGTCCCGGCCTCCAGCTGCCGACAGCGAGAAGAGGAGACTCATCATCTCACAGTAGAAGGATGGAGAGGCACAAGCTTTCCCAAGGTGAGAGGGGGCAAGGGGACCTATCCAAGAAGGCACTTGTGGGAGTGCAGGGGGCTAGGCGGTTTGAAACTAAGCATGTGCTTAAGCTAGATCAGGGCCAGAGGTGCAGAAAAGAAATTTTCAGCAAGGAGAAAACTCTAGGAAGAACTAAACCCTAGAGGAAGCTCAGGGTGAGGTTTGCACTTCCTATTTCAGTCTAAAAAAAGCCCTGTCCCAGGAGGGGATGAGTTTCAGTAACATACAGTGTGTCTGCCCCTCCGCCACATAGCCCAATTCCTTGTATCCAGAATAGGGGTGATGAAAGTAAAGCACGTGGAAGCCCCACAACGCTGATGCACCCTCAGAGCATCCTTCCTTGCAGCCAGCAGCCTGGTGCCCAGGGGCAGAGCAGCATCACACTTGAACGGTTCATAGGAGGAGGGATGCACCGAAAAGAGCAGAGGTGGTTGTTGCAGCTAACTTTACACCCAGAGATGAAAGCAGGGCCCGGGGACATTTTATCCCATGGTTATTTGCATGCTCTGTGCTGTGGGTTTGGATGAGGCCAGCTGTTTCTTTCCCCAGACATCCCCCAAACAGAGCTTGGGGGAAATCAGGAGCTGGGGGCTGTACCCTAGAAGCAGGCTGGATGCAGCCTCCCTGGTTTGAAAGCTAAAAAAATGCAGCCCTATAGACGAAAGCTGGGTTAAGCCATTTATGTGCCTGCCTCCGGCCCTGCTTAGTTTACTGCCAGCCTAAAAATCCCCCAGTGCTGCGAAATCATCTTGAACCTTGTATGCACGTTGCTGTGGCTCAGCTTGTGTTTGGAGGGATGCATCTGTCTGATTTTGCTACCTTGATGCTTGAAATGAGGTGGGGAAAAGCAGGCAGCCTTACTGAGAGAAAAAAAAAAAAAAAAAAAAAAAAAAAAAAAAGAAAAACAGAAAGAAACCAAAAGCGGGGGCGGGGGGGGGAAGGAGAAGGGAGGATTTTGTCTCGGGGAAAGGCAGCCCGGAGGCGTCGGAGCCTCGGAGGTCGGTCCTCGCCGTCGCCTCGCGTTGCGAAAGACCCTTTTGCTGGGGCTCGGGTGCCCCTCGGTTTTGTAAAGGCATCCCTGGACGGAAACTCTGGCCCACGCTGCACCTCCCCAAAACCCAGCGGGAATGCTGGAAAACTGGGAGGCCCCGTGGCGGGGCCGGGAAGGGCGGCGGGGCCGCGGGGCGCGGAGCGGGGCCGCGGGGCGCGGAGCGGGGCCGCCTGCCATCTAGCGGCACCGGGCCCGGGGTGCCCACCCGCGCGGGGAAAAACACTCCAAAACAAAGCCTCGACCCCCTCCCCAACCCTCCGCATGCAGGGGGGGGCGATCGGTTTATGTTTCGGGGGATGTCGGGGTGGGGTTTCTGCCAGAGGGTCTTGTGTATCTGCCAGGAAAATGCACCGAGGCGTAAGTGCGGTGGAGCATAAACGTATTTGCAAACTGACGAGCTAGGCTGTACCAAAGAGCCATGTAGTCCTGCTTGTGTGTATTTTTTTTCCCCCCTCCTCACGCCTCTGCGGAGGATTTTTTTTTTTCCCCTCTTTTTTTTCTCTCCCGCAGAAGAAATCCCCAGTGGCAGGAGCAGGGCTCTCCCCTTCTCCCCCGTCCCTCCCTCCTGCCTCCCGTTTTGTGGCCTCACTGCTCCCACCCTGCTGCTGGCCCCAGTAGGGATCCAGAAAAGGGGAGCAGGGAGGACACGGCCACGTTTCTGTTCTCCCTTCCATGACCTCATATCTCCTTAACACTCGCCCAGACCTTTCAGGGGGTGCTGAAACCTCTCTGTTTCTGCACCCAAAAATTTGCAAGCTGAAGGAGGGGATGCCTGAACGCCTGAACCCCCTCTTCCTTAGCCCCATCCTGAAAACTCCCTCATGCAATGAATCATTCCCCCCCCGCCTTGTACTGGGGGCTCCCCTGTACCACAGGGGTTGGGTACATGTCCGATTTCATCCCTACGGCATAGCCTCATACCCAGGGAAGGAAATGGAGATGGCTTTTCAAAGGCTACCCCAGAAGAGGATGGAGTAACGCACTCCCTACGGTCCCATCCTGCCCCACAGCCCTATGGGGTCCTTTTGGAGGGGCTGCTGAGCAGACACCCAATGTGGGCATCCTCAGACTGCCTCCCCAAGGCGCTTATCGACTGCAAAGAGACACAGAGCTGGGATCAGATTTAAAAGAGGGAAGAAACCTGGGCTCTGGACAGTCCAAGATGTTAACCAGCAGTGATGATGTGCTCAGGAGCGCTGGTGGTTCACCCATCCATGGAGGTGCTGAAAATGAAGCCAGTGCTGGGTCTTTCTTGCAAACCAGCTCGAGGAACGGGGCTCCCTGCAGCACCAGGACATGCTCTGTGCTGGAGTGGGTCTCAGGAGGTTGGCAGCACCCCAAGACCCAAGGGGATGGGGGAGATGGTACAACCACATACTGGGTCTGTGCCCTGGTCCACAGACCCTCCATCGGGCATGAAGCCCACGCAGCTCCACACTCATATAAAGCTTTAGGTTTAGCTCTGATATTAGCTTCCTCATGATTCCCAGAAATATCTAGCCCCTCCCACTGAAATCAACTTAGAGATGGGGTCCAGCCAACCTCGGGTGTGACCCAGTTCTGGGGGTCCACTTTGCTCACAGTCTCTCATTTGCAGCTATGGTTTGGTGCAAAATACTGCCTCATTTTCCACCCTTCCTGCACAACCCAGCAAGGATCCAGCAGTGTGCCTTGGCTTCGAGGACCCTAAACCATGCTGTCAGTCTTCAGCAGTACCATTGCAAAAGGGGCAGTCGGGACTCCCTTGTGCGCTCCCTACCTACCCTCTAATCTTGCTCGGGTAACTTGTCCACTCTCTTTTTCTTCCCTCTTTTTCTCCTTTTATTACTTTGTTCCTTTATCTAAAAAACCAAATTGACTTTAAAAGTTCAAGTTGACTGTACAGTCCAATCCTCATGTGAGCTCAGAGCATGGGCAACCAAATGTGTCATGAAGGATTTATTCACAAGGCCAGGTCTTACAGTTCAGTCTTGCTCTGTAGGTGCTCTCAGCCAGATGCACTTTAAAATCCTTTATGGGAAGAGCTGCACCCCCAGCTAGATGGGAATGGGCAGAGAGAAGGTCTTTCTGGCCCTTGTGTTGAGGTTGTCCCACACCAGCCAGCCACGGCACTAGGAACCGGTCCCAGGAGTGTTTCATCTTCAAGGAGAGATGTTGCTGGGGTCAGCAGCGTGTGCAAGGCAGGATTTTATCGAGGGGAAAAAGGCTAAAGGCACCAGCCTGGCACGTCTGCATCCTCCTGATGGAGGGCTGCAGGGTGCTGCCCTGGGGATCAAGCATCCTCAGCTGCTAGGGATGGGGGAGAAATCTAGGTAGGGGGGGAAAAAAAGGCATTTTGGAGAAGCACTGCTAGCTGGTCCTCCAGGTTCAGCACAGGAGAACTGAGCTACTCCTGGTCACTGGGGTTTCCCGTCTCCCTGGGTCCTGCCCACGTTTCTTTCACGGTCCTGGCCGGTTTGCTCTCTCCCCGTTCCTCCAGACAAGCCAGATTTTTCTGGGGCTGATTCCACCGTCTTCACATCTTAGACAGCCATGACAAGCTAGAAGGGGTTTGCAGAGTCCTTATGCTCTTATGAGCATTGGATTAATTAAAAAAAACTAATCAGGAATAGAGAAAAGCTCAGCATTAACCTCACGCTAGAGAGGTTTCCAAGTAGGTACGCCAATGAAATAAAAACAGCAATTTGCAGCTAAATAAAAATAACAATTAAGCATTTGAAATACAAATATACCATTCAGAACAAGCAGATAAATATTCAGATGCATTCATTACAAGGTTGAGGCTGTCTCTCAAATAAACAGACAGGTACAAAATAGCAGCCTGAATACTCCAATTACGCCAACATCACAGCAGTGCCCATGCTCCTGGTCCCAGGCAGCAGGAGGAGGCAGAGGGAAGATGGGGAGGAGGATGTGGGCAATGGGGAAAGCATGTGTGGGAAGCGTATTTTTTTTTTTTTAATTGGTCTTAAATTTTGATTTATGTAACCAGTGCTTGGATTCTTCTTCATGGAGGGCTTTAATTCCCAGGGATGGGACATTCTCCTGTGGCACCAGCACTCGTCACGGCTTTTCTTTGTGACACGGCGTTGTCCTTTTTTCCCCGGGGAAGACCCACCACACTCGTGTCTGCAGAGGAGAGCAGGATTTGGCCTCCTGCCTGCTGCCCTAAACCCAGCCCGAGGGGTCCAGCAGCGGGGCGCAGTCCCCAGGCAGGCGGCAGGAAAAGACGGTGGATCAGGGAAAAGCAAAACACGGCCAAGCCCAAAAGCTACAAAGCTTTTGGAGCTCAAATGCTGCAGCTGATTGAAAAAATAACACTTCCCCCTCCCGCCCTCCACGGCGCCCCGCGCTTCCCTGCCCCACGGCGGGAGCCACGCGCTGGGGACGTGGCCGTGGGACAAGGGGACACAGTGGCCTGTGTGGGTAGAGCCCCAGCTGTGGGGCCGGGGGGGTGTGTGGTCTGGGGCTGTGATAGGGGTGGCCCCCCCACTCGAAGGGGGTATCTGCACTTCTGGGGGTGATGTGTCAACCGAGGGGTGTCGTGGGGCGTGCGTGTGTGTCCCAAGGGGGTATCTACGCTTCTGGGGGTGATGTGTCACCCGAGGGGTGTCACAGGGGGGTGTGTGTGGGGTGTCCGGGGCTGTGATAGGGGTGCCCCCCCACTCGAAGGGGGGTATCTACACTTCTGGGGGTGACGTGTCACCCGAGGGGTGTCGTGGGGCGTGCGTGTGTGTCCCAAGGGGGTATCTACGCTTCTGGGGGTGATGTGTCACCCGAGGGGTGTCACAGGGGGGTGTATGGGGGGTGTCCGGGGCTGTGATAGGGGTGCCCCCCCACTTGAAGGGGGGTATCTGCACTTCTGGGGGTGACGTGTCACCCGAGGGGTGTCACAGGGGGGTGTATGGGGGGGTGTCCGGGGCTGTGATAGGGGTGCCCCCCCACTTGAAGGGGGGTATCTGCACTTCTGGGGGTGATGTGTCACCCGAGGGGTGTCATGGGGCGTGCGTGTGTGTCCCAAGGGGGTATCTACACTTCTGGGGGTGATGTGTCACCCGAGGGGTGTCACAGGGGGGTGTATGGGGGGTGTCCGGGGCTGTGATAGGGGTGCCCCCCCACTTGAAGGGGGGTATCTACACTTCTGGGGGTGATGTGTCACCCGAGGGGTGTCGTGGGGCGTGCGTGTGTGTCCCAAGGGGGTATCTACACTTCTGGGGGTGATGTGTCACCCGAGGGGTGTCACAGGGGGGTGTATGGGGGGTGTCCGGGGCTGTGATAGGGGTGCCCCCCCACTTGAAGGGGGGTATCTGCACTTCTGGGGGTGACGTGTCACCCGAGGGGTGTCACAGGGGGGTGTATGGGGGGGTGTCCGGGGCTGTGATAGCGGTGCCCCCCCACTTGAAGGGGGGTATCTGCACTTCTGGGGGTGATGTGTCACCCGAGGGGTGTCACGTGTGCGGGGGGGGGGGGAGGCGGGAAGCGCCCCTGCTCCACGCACACCCGCGGGGGGGGTCTGTAGTAGCATGTTTGGGTGGGGGATGATGCCCGCGCAGGCGCACTGCGGCCCAGAAGCGCCGTGGGGTGGTGGTGGTGGTGGGGGGGGGGGGCGCTGTGTGTGTGTAGTGTCGGCGACGTGTGCGTGACGGCGGGCTGTTCCCGCGCGCCCCCTAGCGGCCCGCCGCCGCCGCCGCCGCCGTGCCGAATCTGCGGCGGGGCCGCCGCCGCCCGTGCGGAAAGTGCGGCGGCGGGGCGCGGGCCGGCTTTACGCCGGGCGGGATTTCATCATGCGGGGGGGGGTAGGGCGGCGCGCCGCGCCTCTCCATGCCGCTGCCGCCCCGTAGCGCCCTGCCCGCCCTCCTCCTCCTCCTCCTCCGCCGCCGCCTCGCCCGCCCGCCCGCCGCTCCGCTCCGCACCCGGCTAGCCCCGGCCGCCGACCCCATGGACGGTCCGCAAGCCGAGGCGCTGCTGGCGCCCCTGCGGCAGGCTGTGCGGCACCAGGTAACCGGCCTCGGCCCGGCTGAGGGGACACACACCCACACCCACACACACCGGCTGAGGGGAGCGCCGCTGAGGCGGGGGACGCCCGCCGGGGAGGACCCGCTGCAGAGCTGGGGGGGGGGGAGATCCCGGTTGGGGAACGGGGATCTCGCTGAGGCGGGGTGGGGGGGGGGGGAGGTCGTGTGGGTGACAGACTCACCCGGAGCTCCGACCCCGCGGGTCGCGGCTCTGTGTGTGTGTGCGTGGGGGGGGGTGCGTCCCCCGTCCTCCCCCTGTCCTCCCCTTCAGCCCAGCCGGCTTGCGTGGGGGGGTGCGCTCCCCGCGGAGTTTCCCCACGGGCCTCCCACCCGCTTGCCGCCCTCAGCGTCGGTTCCCTTGGGCGCGCCCCGTGGGTGCGGGGTCTGCGGGTGCCTCCCCTCGCGTGGGTCTTGCCCGGTCCCAGAGGACCGGGCTGGCGGGGGGTGGGTGCGTGGGTGCAGCGTGCGGGGGTTTCCCGCAGGCAGCCCTTTCCCCTCCCTGCAGCGCCCGTGTGTGTGAGGGCTGTCCTGCCGAACAGGATCTGTGCGTCACCCTACCTGGCTCTCCTCTTCCAGGGCTTGATGTGTCTTCTGTGCACAACCTAGGGCCGACTTGGTCACGCTTTTAGGACCCCTTACCTGGCTCTTCACGTTTTCTTTACAAAACAGCCTGCATAGTTTTCCTCGTCCCATAGGGTCACACACACGGTGACATCCCTTTAGAGCTGAGTTTGTGTTGGGTTTGGAGGTAACTGATATTCTTTAGACTTGCATATTTGCCTGATGCAGTAAGGGATGGTAATTCCTTCGCACATTTTCCATTTCATCATTCTTATTTGTCTAGATAAGTAGCTGTCTCCTGTTAGCCGGGAACGCATTGCTTTCTCTTTCCATTTCCCTCACGGATGAAGCTTTTACCTTTAGCTTCCTTCTTACCGGAGAAGGATCTTGTTGTCTTTTTATTTCCTAAGTCAGTCTTGATCTTGGGTACCCTTGCTGTGTACGTTCATGGCAGTGGTGCTTGCTCACAGCACATGGCAGTTCCCCTTCCTCCCTGCTTCAGCAGCAAGACCTGTGCGTGTGGGTTCCCTACATGCCTCCTTTAAGTGGCTGAATCCATAGTCTTCTGCTTAGCTGCACACATAGCTACGTGTGTGTCCCATATATTCCTAGTTTTGTGCATGTGTTTTCACATTAAATGAGTGGATTTATTGCCCTCTAATTATGCCAGCACTTCAATGAGTTTTTATTATGAATCACTGTACAGCATAATGCCTTGGCAAGAGAGCTTGTAAATAAGATGATGTTCTCTAGAACTAGCCAATTTATTTATTTTAAAATCCTGTATCTTGGGTGCTGTCATTTGCCTTTAAAGTATCAGTGCACCCCTTCTTTCTGGCTGCCTGTGGGATTGAAGGAGGAGTGTGGCATGCCAAGGGAAGGTTTGTGGGTAAATTTGTATAGCTGGGACCATGGATATTGTATCGTACAGCTGACAGTAGTAATTCACTGTGATGTTTGCACAAGAGGAATAGAAGAGAGTAATGAAGATTGGTATAGTTGATACCTTACGATGCAGGGGACCCTGTCTGTCAGCTCATGGAGAAGCGGTTTAATTAAACCTCAGGGACTCTTAACCTACGGAGAGGAAAGTGAGCAGCATATCTTCCTGCAGCAGTGCCTGATGCAATAAGCTGCCGAGATCCAGGGGTGGATCCCTCTCTGCTTTACTGGTCTGTGGGACAAAGCTGCAGCAAAATTTGCCACATCAAGTGCTGCTGTGCACTCCTCCTCTGGGTTGGGCTCAAGATAGTAACTTTAATTAGATTGAGTCCTGTCAGCAAACATAATTATTTGTTACAGTTGTGTTTTTGTGATTTTTTTTTTTTTTTTTTTTTTTTTTTTTCTTCTCTCCTGAGTACTCTTACTTATAGATCAGGACAAAGAGTTGCTGTGTGCTGCTTTTAGATGCTCAGCAATGAGCAGGGTGATAGCTCTGTTGAGTCAGCAGTAGCTGCTTTGCTGCTGCCTTGATGTTTTTCCACTGCAGACCCCCTAGCTCAACAAAGGCAATTTGGATTTACTACTTTAAAAGAAAAAAAAAAAAAAATCAGATCCCTCCCTCTGCCACGTTACCCAGGAATGGCAGTTGAAGTCAGCCCTAAAGTGAAACTTCTAATGTTTTGGTATAACTAGTTAACAGGAAGGAAACATCAGTTTTGTTCTGTTCTTGTAACTGACGCAGTTAGGAGGCCTTACAGGAATTGTGTATTTCCTTCTTTTCTTTTTGTGTGTTTGTTTTAACTCAGTCTTCCTCCTTTTATTAATGAAGTTAGCCTTTGAACCCTTTAGTCTCTGAAGCACTTTTAGCTTTTCTAATCTGATTACTGAATGGCAATCTGTGTATTCTCTCTGATTTCTCAGTTGCCTATAATAATGTCAGAAAAGCTCAGAATTTATGAAGAAGCTGGTATTGTGGAAATGCAATCTCTTTGGGTTGTGTTTTTTTCTTTTTTTTTTTTTTTTTTTGTTTAATAGAGAAGTGCAAGATACAAGAAAAATTATGAACTTGAAACATCCCATTCTTAGAACATCCCACTTGAGAAGGCATTGACATCTTTGTGCTTTTTCCTCCTCGGTCAGCTCCTTTGTCCTTCTCAGTAATTCAGGATAGACCTTGGTTTTGGCTGAAGAAGAGTGGACTGAAAGGAAGACTTTGAATTAACTTATCTCCAAGAGCAAGCTAGACATGACTGCTGAGGATCATGTTCTGAAAAGCACACTGCTGGGTATTTAGGGGTTGTGCACTTCCCTGTGATGAAAGGGGAGAATCGTCCCCACAGGGCAAAGAGACCTTTTTGGAACCATTACAACATGATGGTGGTTTGACTCAGGTCAAGACCTCAGTGTAAGCCCAGTGCAGGGTTTTGTTGCTCTGAAATGTTTAGTCTTTGCTTGGTTTTTTTTTTTTTTTGGTAGTTTTTTTAATTTGGTTTTGTTTTTTTTTTTTTTTTTTTTTTTTTTTACTCCATTCTTTCCCAAAGTTACTGGACAAGTTTTAAAAACAATAACAATATTTACAGATAATGCAATACCTTCTTTGCTTAGACATTTGACTAGAAATGTCTGTCTTCTGTGAGACCTTCTTCCAAAAATGTATGTATTACTGGCCAGTTTTGAACAGATATGGCAGAGGAAAAGAAGGCTAAAACAGACATAAATTTTGAAGAACAGGGAATGGGTAGAAGGAAGAGAAAACTTATTACCAAGGAAGAGAGCACAAAGCCTCTATTAACCATTTGAGAATCCAAATGTTAGTGTATCCTCCAAAACGGAAAACTAGGATTTGTGGAAATCTGCTGTGAAGTGGTGCATACAGGAGTGTATTTGCACGCTGAGATCAAATTTGTAAGTGTTTCTCACTTGTACCAATTGAAGCAGCCTCTTGAGACCTGTGTGGAGGCAGGACGCAACTCCTTTTGGATTGCCAGGGAAGCTGAAAGAAGGAGAGTTCTTGTCTATGGCATTCAAAGAAAGAATCTATATCTTGTGTTTTGTCTCCTCCTTCTAGGGAGAACTGGTAAGGAAGCTGAAGGAAGAGAAAGCTCCCCAGGTGGATATAGACAAAGCTGTAGCAGAGCTCAAAGCTCGGAAGAGGATCCTAGAAGCGAAGGTGAGTCTGGAAATTAAATTTGACTTCCACAGTTCTGTCTGAAAAGCCTTGAAGTCTCTACTTCATGCTTTTTTACAGTATTGATTTGGGCTGAACAGTCATAGTAGGGCAGACGGTTTGAATCGCTTCTGAAATAGTTTGCAAGTTTCCAACTAGTGGCCATTTCATTCTGATACAATTGACTGAAGTCCGATTTCATAATAAGCATATGGTTTTGTTTGGGTTCAATCAGTTTAGGGTGAGAAGCAATCAGCAAAGCAGCGCTGGGTGCGTGGGGAGTCTCAGCTCTGCCCCGCGCACCCCGAGTTCTCACAGCAGGGTCTTTTATACTCTCTCACCTGCGTCTTGACCAATCCCCCTTTACCAGACAGTCGTCCTGCTCTTCCTCCATCGGATCAGTCGAGTTGCAGGGGTACATGTCCGTCCCTTATTGGGTCCTTTGAAAGTCTGGAGGTCTCTGCCTCTTGGCGCGCTGTTCTCCTGTTGGATCTGGTGAAAGTGGTGGGGTTTTGTCTTTCCGCGGGCTTTTCTCAGCAGAGGTTGCATCAGCTCAAGGCGGAGTTTCTAAGAAGCGGTTACATTGTTCCGAGCAAGAAGCACGCTCATCTATATTTTATTCTTGCATATTCTCGATACGATTCCAACATTCATCACAATTATTATACAGGTTATAGTGATCACACATCATTTCAGATCCACACAGGGTACAACAATTACACTTATCACACCATATTTTATTTTGACACGAATCATGCCTGTGTTTTCCACAATTCTTTCTCTGTTATGCTAATACCTGTTAGCATTAAATCACAGTGTGTGAACAAATAAATGAGTTTGGGTTGTTTATAGTCAAAGCAAAAATTCAGTGTATGTGCCACTAATCTTCGTTTACTATGTAGATTGTTTTTTGTTTACAGTGAGAGGACATGCTGTTTGCTGTAGTGAGTTTCATCTTCAGCATTTAAATTCCCAGACTGACATAGAACACGTTTCTTGAGAAACCATTTTGCTACAGTTTAAACAAAGTTTCTGGAGATGTTTCAAGTAGCCTATGCTTTTCCTTAGCCATAAAGAGATGCAGTTGTGCTCTGAAAAGTCTTTCTGCAAATGAAAAGACGGAACTTCCAGTTTGTTTTTTTTTTTGTCTAGATGAATAAACAAGTAGAAGTACACTTCCTTATCCAGCAAACTTCCCTCCCCTTCTCAGACTGAAACAACAGAAACTCCCGACGCATAAAAACAGTCAGATGTGCAGATTCTTTCTAATTTGTGTTTCATATAAAAATTGTTGTAGTTGTACTCTGGTGGTACTCTTAAAAATAAATGAATAAATAAATAAATACACCGCTGCTTGCAACTAACTTACTGTGAGAATGTGAGTATGCCTGAATTGAAGCTAGCTGACCCTATTTGTTCTCCTATTTGAGGCAGTTAGTACTCTCTGTCAGATCTGGCGTTACGACTAGCTGTTTCCATGTGTTTGACCCAAGTAAAAAGATGTCATTTTTAGTTAGTATTCATCATAGAACTGTGCTTTGAAACCATTGCATGAAACCTGGATCGATAGCTAGGTTGTCCTGGAGTAAATAGTTTCTAAATGTTTTCCCAGTTCAGTTTCCCAGCTCTCTGAAGGTTGATGTAGAGGGACGAAGCAAGGCAGGTTAGGAGTCTTGGTATCCCTGTGAGCTCCACCTTTCTGTTGGAAGAGTGCCTGTAGGATGCGGTATGGAGGCGTGCTTGCCAGTTACACAATTTGTGTAGGCTGTATCCCTGTCAGTGCAAGAACGACCTTGCAAACGCAGCATCTGCCCTTGTGAGTGCAGCACTCCAATATAGGCTTTCTCTCTTGATGGGGTTTCCAGCAACGCATCAGTCTCTTGCACCTTTTGCAGAGTGCAAGGCAGCAGTGTGAATGCTTGTTTGCTTTAACAGCTGCGGATGCAATTTTCAAGCCCTGGAATTCCT